TCACTGATTAACCCGGAAAGTAGACAGAAACGAAAAGGAAGAGGAAATAACAGAAGAGAGAGAACCTTGGGTTTCTCGTACCAGCACTTTAGGAGACCGAGGTGGGTGGATCCCTTGAGCCCAGAAGTTCAAGATCAGCCTGGGCAATATGGCAAAACCTTGTCTCCACAAAAAATACAAAACTTAGCTGGGCATGAGAGCACATGCCTATGGTACCAGCTACCCAGGAGGCTGAGGCAGGAGGATTGCTTGAGCCCAGGAGGTCAAGGCTGCAGTGAGCCATGATCGCACCACTGCACTCCAGCCTAGGCAACAGAGCAAGACCTTGTCTCAAAAAAATAGATTAAAAAGAAAAAAAAACTTACACTTTTATGAATTGGACAAATATGAGGAAAAAATGTGTGTGGGCTTATAATTTTTGCTAACAATAAAGCTTTACATAAATATAAGATATTACTACTAATCTAAATCAGGGCTCAATTAGTAAGTAAAAACTTTCTTTCAATTAAAGATTTTTAAAAAGTAACTATATTTTTTCATTAATATAGCTAATACAGCTCCATCCTGATCTTAGACTAAAAATAAAAACAATCTGTCAGAGACCCTAAAAAGTGTTTCCAAGTATAATTCCCTCTAATATTTTATCTCATCTTACACTTAAACTTGACACCTTGGGCAGAAACTCTGCTTGGGCAGTAGATAGTCTGAAGAGGGATTAAACATTCATTTCAAGAAAATGTTTTTTTCATCACTTAATAAATTAACAAATAATCTGTGAGTCCATTATTTATTCATGGTGTGAAAGACACTATCCCAAGAACTAATCATTAAATGAAATGATTACATGTCCTAGAAAAAAGTATTAACAGGGAATATACAGAACGTTTCCAATATTTATATATTTTTAAAATTAAACTTCTACTTTCCCTCCCTTCAATGTTCATTATTAGGAGAATGGTACATAAATTACAATACGAGCATAGATAATACAATTCAACTTTTAAAATTATTTTTATTTTTATTTTATTTTTATTTTTTGAGAATGGAGCTTGCTCTGTCACCCCCGCTGAGTACAGTGGTGCTATCATGGCTCACTGCAGCCTTGACCTCCTGAACTCATGCAATCCTCCTGCCTCAGCCTCCAGAGTAGCTGGGACTACAGGCACACCCCATCGTGCCTGATTAATTTTTTATTTTTTGTAGAGATGAGGTCTCACTATGTTGCCCAAGCTGGTCTTAAACTCCTGGACATAAGCAATCCTCCCACCTCAGTCTCCCAAAGTGCTGGGATTATACGTGTGAGCCACCACACCTGGCTGCAGTTTAGCTTTTTAAACAAGATATATTTTAATCTGGAAAGATGTCTATAAAATATTTGTAAATGGGAAAAAAATTTCAGAGTTATATAGCATTATTCCAAATGTATTTTTAATAAGAAAATGCAAAGCAAGGATGATACACATGTATGTATACATAACTAAGCACTGAAATATTATGGAAGAAATAGTTACTTCAGGAGAGACTGTGGGAAGAAAGAGATGTTAATATTTGTCATATATTTCCATATTGTTTTATTTACTATGAGTGGATATTACTTTGGCAATTAAAATAAGGGAATAAGTTTTTTTAAGAACTAAACTTTTTCTATTAAAGCATGTACTAAATGGCATTATAGGTTTGCAAATAATGCTAAAATAATTACGGCTAATACTTTGCAGAAACAAATCATGAAATATTTATAAAAGCTATTAAACTTCAATATTTTTATAATGGTAAATTCTAAGTTATAATAAGTTAAGGTCAATTTTAAATTATCATGCAACATATCCTTTTCTAAATACTCTTTATTATTTTAAGGTAAAATTATCTGAAGGTTCAAATATATAACAAGATACCTCAATTCACATGAAGAAAAAATATGCTTCAATTTGACAAATTCCAGGTCTAGCAAAAACAAAACATGAAAGATTACAGAGTGTATTCTAGGCTGGGCGCGGTGGCTCACGAAGGTAATTCCAGCACTTTGGGAGGTCAAGGCAGGTGGATCACAAGGTCAGGAGATCAAGACCATCCTGGCCAACATGGTGAAACCCTGACTCTACTAAAAATACAAAAAAAAAAATAGCTGGGTATAGTGGTACGTGCCTGTAATCCCAGCTACTTGGGAGGCTGAGGCAGGAGAATCGTTTGAATTCAGGAGGAGGAGGAGGAGGTTGCGATGAGCCGAGATCGTGCCATTACACTTCAGCCTGGCATCAGAGCAAGGCTCCGTCTCAAAAAAAAAAAAGAGTGTAGTCTATTTATTCAAACGCTTCACCCACCACCACACACACACAAAAAGAAAAGCCAACCTGATTTGTCCTCTGTGTCATCAAAGTCAACATTGAAGGAATGGCCGCTGTTGCTGATGATTTTAGCTGAGCTTGGGTCATACTTGATACTAAGTGGTCGGAGGGAAGAGTCATATTTCACTTCTTGGGTTTTAATCTCAATCGGAGATTGCTGATCACCATCAGCAATAGGGAAAAATTCCTTCCAGTGAATAGGACCTTAAATATATAGGACCAAAAGAAAAGGATTAAATAAGTTCTTTCTTTCAACAAACATGCATTGAGTATAACGCATTGTGCTTGAAATGGAAGAAAATGCAAAGATTAATACAATGAGATTCTCATCCTCAGGTCCTTGGCATCTAATTGTTTTTTTTACAAGATGGGTTGTTTTTATTATAGATGTGGGAAACTCTTGGTATGCCTTAAGTCATTTTCAGAATTAAACTAACCCTTGTAGACAAAGGAGTCTGTAAATTTTATAAAGTACTCTCCAAAGGTAACCTTCTACCAAACTAAAAACAATAATACAATTCATCATTGAAAACAATGACATTCAGTCTCAGCTCCAAGAATGAGCTGTTGCTCCAGAGGTCAAGTTTGCAGATTGGGAGAGTCAAAAAAGCTGAAAAAGCCATGAAGCAAAGAAAGGGTGTCATTCTTAAAGATGCTGTGCTTCTTTATTCTTCCTTCTATCACTCAGTGCTATCTTCTAGTGTCACTCAGGCCTCCACTCAATTACCTGTGATGTGCAACAGGCATACCAAGAAAACATACAAATTTTTCACCTAGGATAATCCAAATAAAATGGCTGCACCATATCAGGAAATGTAATATTGTTGATTATCTGCAGTGGAGTCAGGTTGTAATTTATTTCTCTCTTTCTTCATTTCAGAAGGTTCTTCTGTGGTTATTTTGCCAATGTTACATTTGAATTTCAACACAAGAGACAAGTGTCATCCGGTCCTCTATTCAAAACGTCAAAATCGTATCCAGTTCACAAATCAGATACATTAGAGGAAACTGAAACGAGCCAATCAGCTGACAGTTCCCTTTTCAATCCTCTTTACTTCTTTGGGAGACTCTATAAAGTCTTGCCTCTCAAAATCAGCAGCAAAGCTGTAGTTTCATGTAAGCTCCACATCATTCTACAAATGAGTCACTTTATAGGTTATAGGTTCTTATTCTCTTCTCTCTACTATTCCTGAAATTTATACAGCTATCACCACCTACACTGGGCTACTGACTAAGGTTTACCCACCTACTTTGCTAAACAATCTTTCACTAAAAATCAAGTACTAATTAAAGAAATGCAATATATCACAATCATCAAAAAACTCTAAAGAGTAAAACTCTAAATCTTTTTTTTTTTTTTTTTTTTTTTTTTGAGACATGGTCTTGCCACGTTGCCCAGGCTGGAATGCAGAGGTGTGATCTCAGCTCACTGCAGCCTCAACTTCCCAAACTCAAACAATTCTTCTTCCTCAGCCTCCCAAGTAGCTAAGAATACAGGTGTGCACCACCACACCCAGCTACTTTTATAAAAACTGTTTTTTTTGTTGAGAGAAAGTCTCACTATAGGCTGGTCTCAAACTCATGGGCTCAGGTGATCCACATGTCTCAGCTTCTCAAAGTGTTGGGATTACAGGCATGAGCCACCACGCCTGGCCCAAATTCTAAATCTAATACCGCTTACTATGCATCATTTTTGCAAAAGAGAATGCACACATACACATATTTTTTCTTTCACATATCCTTCAGGCACAAAAAGTCATAGCATAAATATATAACTATACACTTAGCTTAAAAGGTGTCATCTGACAAACTGGACTTCAAAGCCACTTGAGCATCAAAAGTCCTTGCTTAGGATGTATTACAGAAAAAGCCTTGTTTATTCAATAATTTTACCATCTTTCTGAGTACTTTTTCTATATATAACCCAGACCTTTTTCCCCCTTAATTCAGAAAAAGCCTTCTATTTCACTGCCACCAAGTAAGAGTTAACCTAATGAAAATTCAATTTCAAATACGCAATGTGTGTTTCACAACATGCAGGTGATATTCTTCCAGTCACTAAAGAGTTGCTTTCTTCTCCTAATTGCTTTGCTCTCCTATTTCCAGTCATTTATAAACAGAACTATTTTTCTAAAAAGTCAAACCAAAATAAAATAAAAGTAATAATACTTTGTATCACATTTCCAATATTATCTACTAACTACCAAAGTCAATTCAGCACCCTGCCTCTTAAAGACATCCCCTTTTTCAATTTTTCCAAAAAAAAATTTCCTCCTCCTCCTCCTCCTTCTCCTCCTTGTCCCCTCCATGACCCAGCAGGCTAGTCTAGAACTCCTGGCCTCAGGCTATCCTCCCATCTCAGTCTTTTGAGTAGCTAGGATTACAGGTGCAAGCCACCATAATCAGCCTAAACGGAAGTCTTTTTTTTTTTTAGACGTTGTTTTGCTCTTGTTGCCCAGACTGGAGTGCAATGGCGTGATCTCGGCTCACTGCAACTTCCGCCTCCCAGGTTCAAGCAATTCTCCTGCCTCAGCCTCCTGAATAGCTGGGATTACAGGCACGCGCCACCACGCCCAGCTAATTTTGTATTTTTAGTAGAAACGAGATTTCTCCATGTCGTTCAGGCTGGTCTTGAACTCCTGATCTCAGGTGATACACCCGCCACGGCCTCCCAAAGTGCTGGGATTACAGGTGTGAGCCACCGAGCCCGGCCAGCAGAATTCTTAATTAGAGATATGTGGTGGTTGCTCAATTGATTTAGGAACTTTTAAATATCTACAGTGATACACACTTTTCAGTGATGTTACATTCCCTAAACTAAACTAATAAAGCAGTCAAAAGTTAGGGGAAGACATCTTAAGTTATTTGTCAAGGCAGTACCCTTTCAGGGCTTCAAGACTTGATGTTTTATTTCATCAGTGTTGCTATCCCCAGCTTAAGTTTCCTTTTATCCGCTCAGTCACTGGTTTTACCAATGTTTAAACAGAAAAAAAACAACAACAATAAAACTTGCCTAGTTAAGCCCAGAGCGGTGGCTCACGCCTGTAATTCCAGTACTTTGGGAGGCCAAGGCAGGCAGATCACTTGAGGTCTGGAGTTCTAGACTAGCCTGGCCAACATAACGAAACCTTGTCTCTACTAAAAATACAAAAATTAGCCAGGCATGGTGGTGTGTGCCTGTAATCCCAGCTGCTTGGTGGAGCTGAGGCGGGAGAATCGCTTGAACCCAGGAGATAGAGGTGGCAGTGAGCCAAGATAGTGCCACTGTACTCCAGCCTGGGCAACAGAGCAAGACTCATCTTAAAAACAAAAAACAAACAAACAAAAACCTTGCCTAGTTAGTATATAATACATTTCCAATAGGATTTTCCCAATCTTTCTCTGAAGACCACACCGTTAAGTAAGGATGTGGTCTTCAGAGAGAGATTGCATCTAAAAGAAGGGAATGGCTAACTCCTAACAGAACAATTCCTAACAGAAATACAAAACCACTCCTTATTAATGGCTTTGCTAAGATGAATTTTTTAAATTCCTGAAATAAGCTTCATCTGGGCCAGTAATTTCTAACCTACTAAAGAGTAATCAATATCCATTGATTGAAATACCCTTCTTCTTCCTAACTACCATAAGAGCGCAGTTGGGATTCAATGACTCTTAAATAACTCTAATAAAAACGACTTCAGCAGAGAGGGAAATGAAAATAGATTTGTCATGTTTTCCCCCTAAACATTCACTGGAAATTAGCAAAATGTAAGATTATAATTATGGCCTTAATCAAGAAGTCTGTGTATACACTTTATTATTAAAGTTATAAATTTTACCTGCTGCCATTTTTAAACTAGCATGTTTAAAAACAGGCTACAATTAGAAATTAAACAGGCTACAATTAGAAACGGAATTTTTCTGTTAGTTTGTGAAATTAAACTTTCTATAAAATTTGACCATTCTATACTATTCAATCATGTACATGCTAATAGAAGGAATGTATTATTATTCACAGCCTTAATTTTTTCCTTTAATTATTATTACGTATTTACTCCTTAAAAAGACAAAAATTGTATATATTTATGTGTACAACATGATGTTTTGAAATATATGCACATTGAGGAATGGCTAAATCAAGCTTTAATTTTGCCAGTTATTTACTATAAGGCTTTTTGGTGTCACTGCGATTATTTCAAATAATTATTATTTGAAACAATCAGTTCAGTTTAACGTAGTAACAAGAAAAAATGTTTTTACTTTTGATAATGTGGGATATGCAAGATGAAAAGTGTATGTCTCGTTATTGTTTATCCTATAATTTCAGTAATCCTTTGCTCACCCTGCAAGGATAAGCATGGAAAGAAAGGAAGAGTGAAGAAGTAACCCACGATGTAACTTCATTTCCAGCAAGAACGTGAACCCTTACCAAAGTCCCCAGTAGTAGTCAACCAACTGCAAATTGCTGTGGGAATATTACAGTAACAGTTATTAGGAAACATACAGTTTTTTGTTTGCCACGAAGCCAACTTAGTCTTCAATGTCACAATGCAAGTTAAGATTTCCTAAATATATTTCCAAAGATTTTCTATGATTTGTTTCTCCTAAGTGAATAGTGAGCTTAAAAGACTGAAAGCGGACTTGTCCTTATTTCATCAAAGTGTGTCATCAGACTTCTAATTTCCAAGCCTTTAATTGATAAGTGGCTGTTACTAGGCAAAGTCCTTGGCTTTTCAGATGAAGGTGAACGCACACGTATGAACACTTGGGAGTTTGGGGAATCCTGATAGAGATACACACCAATGCTCACATCCACTACCAACAACCCGTCCACCCTGACAAGCCAGCTCTCCGCTTCCTGCACTGGGCTCTGAGGAGTGCTGCTAGGTTTAAAGAGGAACCGAAAAGTTTCCCAAAGTGTGAGCCGAGTGTGCGGTCAGCGAGCGCCGGGGCGTCGCGCCAGTCCTCCCGCCCCCCCGCCCAAAGCTCCCCTCGGATCAGGAAAAGGCGCTCACCATTGTGCTCCCGGTATCCCCAGCTGAGCCTCGACATGGTCCCTCGGGGTGGAAGGCAGAGGAAGATGTGGCTGGGCAGCGAGAGCGCGGAGGGAGCGGGCGGGGAGGGGCGCGGGAGGGAGCCTGCTAGGGCGGGACCGCGGGGCGCCGGCGGCAGGAGTGCGAAACCGCGAACCCAGCCCGGGGCGCTCCCGCCCGCGTCCTACAGGCGGCAGAGGCGTGCGGGGAAGGCGCCCCCGCGGCTGGCTGAGTCCTGGAGGGCGCGAGTCCCTGGGGGATCTCCTGCCTTCTGAGAAGGAGTCACTCGGGAGAGGAAAGTTTTGCCTAGAGGGCTTCCAGGAAATAAATGAGTCACCAGAGCCTGGAACTGCCAGGCTGGGAGGTGGGGATCCCGGTGGAGGCGTAAAAGAGGTCGGTGATGGTCGTGGCAGTGGTGATTACAAATACAAAACAATAATGACGATGGTAATCACCACCATTGAAAAAATAACTACTTATTAAGGGCTTATCGTGGGCAAGGGTCTTAGCTGTTTACCCACGTTTTCCCATTAGATACTCTCAGCATTTCCTCGAGAAAGACGTGTGCCCCCTAATTAGGAGATCAGGCTTAGGAGACACGAGGTATCCTGCCCCAGGTCGCACAGCTAAAGCGGGTGGGGTCGTTGTTAGAGAGGACCAGCTCCCTGTCCTGGACTGGCTCCATTGCCCATTCACCCTTTCCTTACCCCTTCCTCTCACTCTGCAGACTTGTGGCTTGTTGAGTGAGGAAACCAAAACCAGTTGTTGAGATTTGGTCCCAAAATTCTGCTGCCCTCCTGACCCCGCAAGAAAGAAGGTTTTCAGAACATCTTTCCTGGATGCTTGGTGGGCTTGTTACCCTAGGACTGGAGTCAGAACTAGCTGCAGAGACTTGAATTTCTGGCCTGGAATCGTGAGTGTTCTGGGTTCAAAGTGAAAAATAAAAATTGGGTACATGAACCACTTTCTACCTCCTTGTCTTGGGTTAGCTGCCTCATATTTTATAAATCCAAGCAACCTCTTTGTAAGGAACCTAGTAAACCCATTTTCAGTAACTGGATGATTTCGTATGTCATGATGAATAATGTTCTTAACGTTCTAAGTAAATATCAGTTCCTGATACCCAATAATAGTGGTTACATGAATGGATGAATGACTGAATAGACCAAAATTGTTAAAGAAATTTTGGTCGTCAGTGGGTTTCAAATACTTCCCAAGTTGTTACTTCTATTGCTTGGGTACACAGTTTGTAACCACCCAGTGGGTTTAACTTGCCGGCTGTCAAGACAGAGCTGATTTATCAAGACAGGGGAATTGCAATACATAAAGGGTAATTCATGTAGAGCCGGCTGTGCAGGAGACTGGAGTTTTATTATTACACAAATCAGTCTCCTCAAGCATTGGGGGATCAGAGTTTTTAAGGACAATTTGGTGGGTGGGGGACAGCCAGCAAGTCAGGAGACCTGATTATTTGGGTCAGAGGTGAAATCATAGGGAGTCAAAGCTGTCTTGCAGTCAGTCAGTTCCTGGGTGGAGGCCGTGGGATCAGCTGAGCCAGTTTATGGATCTGGGTGGTGCCTGCTGATCCCTCAAGTGCAGGGTCTGCAACGTATCTCTAAAGCACTGGTTTTAGGCTTTACAATAGTGATGTTATTCCCAGGAGCAATTTGTGGAGGGTCAGAATCTTGTAGCCTCCAGCTGTATGACTCCTAAACCATAATTTCTAATCTTTTGGCTAATTTGTTAGTCCTACAAAGGTGGTCTAGTCCCCAGGCAAGAAGAGGGTTTGTTTTGGGAAAGGGCTGTTACTGTCTTTGTTCTAAACTATAAACTATGTTCCTCCTCAAAGTTAGTTCAATCTATGCCTAGGAATGAATAAGGACAGCTTGGAAGTTAGAAATAAGATGGAGTTGGTTAGGCCTGATCTCTTTCACTGTCTCAATTATAATTTTGCAGTAGTGGTTTCAAGTTCCTTCTTGTTTAAATTCATAGCTCAGTCTATATAATTTTCTAAAACAGCAATCTAAGTATTGGCAACAATCTAATTACTTTTCATAGGAAACTAGTTAGATCATCTGTAGAGCATCCATCACTCAATGGACTTTTTTTTTTTGAGATAGAATTTCGCTCTTGTTGCCCAGGCTGGAGTGCAATAGTGCGATTTCGGCTCACTGCAACCTCTGCCTTCCGGGTTCAAGCGATTCTCCTGCCTCAGCCTCCAGAGTAGCTGGGATTACAAGCATGCCCTACTACACCCGGCTAATGTTTGTATTTTTAGTAGAGATGGGGTTTCACCATGTTGGTCAGGTTGGTCTCCAACTCCTGACCTTAGGTGATCCACCTGCTCGGCCTCCCAAAGTGCTGGGATTACGGATGTGAGCCAACACGCCCAGCTGCCATTCAACGGATTATTGTCCATTTATAAAAAGAATGAAGATCTCCATGAGCAGAGCAGATGTAAAGTGAGTCCTGGGATGTACTGAGGATGCGGGGGCGGGGGAAGCGAAGGAACAAAGAGTGTATATAATAGACTACATGCTTAAGAAAAAAAAATAGAAATAAAAAACTGCACACATATTTTCCGATTTTTACCAAAAAAGTAGAGAATAAGCCATAAATCAATAAAAATGGTTCCTTATAGAGGATGAGCGTGAATGGGGTGGAAGTGTCAGAGGCAATGGAACCAACCTCTGACTTCTAGGTTCAAGCGATTTTTCTGCCTCAGCCTCCCGAGTAGCTGGGACTATAGGCGCACACCACCACACCCAGCTAATTTTTGTATTTTTAGTAGAGACGGGGTTTCACCATGTTGGCCAGGCTGGTCTCGAACTCCTGACCTCGTGATCCGCCCGCCTCGGACTCCCAGAATGCTGGGATTACAGGCGTGCGCCACTGCACCGGCCCCTTTTGTTTATTTACTTCTCTAATAAACCTGCCTTACTTTACTCTGTGGACTCACCCCAAATTCTTTCCTGCATGAGATCCAAGAACCCTCTCTTGGGGTTTGGATTGGGACCGCTTTCCAGTAACAGAAGGATAGGGATGAGTAAAACTTCTCAGTGTATCTTTTTTACTTTTAATCATAAATGTCATTAAATTAACTTCAGCCTAAAGCTGCCTCCTTATATATTTTAGTTCAGCTTAAAGTTTTCTCTGTATACAGTGAACTCTAACCTAACTAGATGTGTAAATAGACTGTAGCCCACTCTCGTGCCAATCACTGAGTGTTGGCCAATCAAAGGCAGCCAACTGTTCAAACCCTGTTCAACTAAGGTAAACTTTGAGCTGTAACAAACCAGTTGTTTCTGTACCTGACTTTCATTTTCTATCCATCATTTTTCTTTCCCTGTCCATCAATCTAAACACACAGAAGGGCTAGAGTCTCTCTGAACCTATTCTGATTGGAGACGCTGCCCAATTTGCAAATTGTTGTTTGCACAATTAAACTCTGTTCAACTTAATTTGTCTAAGATTTTTCTTTTAACATTGTTTTGCATTTTTTAAAAATAAAATTAAATCAAAGAGAATAAAAAAGCAAACCCTGAAATTGAATTCAAACAGAAACAATTAAAATTAATTGTATATTGAATTGATAATGTAACCGTAAAGAAAAAGTTAAATAGCATTCGAATATAGTACTTTGGCTATATATCCTTAGTAGGACATATAACATATTAAGAAGAAATGCAAGAAAATCTTGAACGTTACTAGTAGGTTTGTTTTTGGTAGGATACTGGTGTTACGCTTCTGAAACCATTTTTCATTGGTTGGTTGGTTGGTTTGTTTTTTGAGATGGAGTTTCGCTCTGCCACCCAGGCTGGAGTGCAGTGGTGCGATCTCGGCTCACTGCAACCTCCACCTCCCGGGTTCAAGCGATTTGCCTGCTTCAGCCTCCCAAGTAGCTGGGATTACAGGTGCCCCTCCTCCCCAACCCCATGCCCTGGCCCTGGTCATTTTGTGTTTTTAGTGGAGACAGGGTTTAACCATGTTGGCCAGGCTGGTCTGGAACTCCTGACAAGTGATCCACCAGCTTCGACTTCCCAAAGTGCTGGGATTACAGGCATGAGCCATTGCGCCTGGCTGGAAACCACTTGTGTGAAAATCATAAGATAGAGCAAATGAACAAATATATTGATAATCTCTGGAAGCATGATTTTCATTCTGGTTTATATAAAAATAGGAAATGACAGAAGCTAAGAAATAAACCCGTGGTGTTGCATTTGAACATTCTCTTCACTGAACGATCCTAAAAACAATAATATCCCAATAATAATGAAGCTAATAAACCTTAAAATCTATAGCCCTTCACTGAGGGACCACTTCTAAAGCCATATACTAATTTTATATTTGTAACTTTATGTTCCTTTCCTTAAAAAAAAAAAAGTCCCAAAATTGTAGTAGCTTCAGGCTCTACAAATTTGAATCTCCCCCTTGCTATGAGACACTGAAACTGCCCAGTGGGTTCATCTTGCCCATTTCTTAGGCAGAACTAATTATTGATTAAGACAGGGGAATTGCAATAGAGCTAGCTAAATGAGTGACTGGAGCTTTTTTGTTTGGTTGGTTTTTTGAGACAGGGTCTCATTCTGTCACCTAGGCTGGAGTTGAGTGGTGTAATAATGGCTCACTGCAGCCTCCACCTCTCAGGCTCAAGCATCGTCCTGCCTCAGCCTCCCACGTAGCTGGGATTGCAGGCATGTGCCACCATGCCTGGCTAACTTTTTTTTTTTTTTTGTAGGGGGAAGAAACAGGGTCTCACTATGTTGCCCAGGCTGGTGTCAAACTCCTGGGCTCAAGCAATCCTCCTGCCTTGGCCTCCTCCCAAAGTGCTGAAATTACAGGTATGAGCCACCATGCCCTACTCACAGTTTTATTATTACACAAATCAGCCTCCCACCAAAAACCAAGGTTAGGGTTTTTCAAGAACAGTTTGGCAGGCAGAGGGCTAGGGAATGGGTGCTGCTGATGGGTTGGAAATGCAATTATAGGGGTGTAGAAAATGGTCCTCATGAGCTGAGTCCACTTTTGGTGGGGGCCACAGAGGAGTTGCTGGTCTGGGTGGGGCCATATGGTCATCATAAATGCAAAAGCCTGAAAAAACATCTCAAAAGGTCAATCTCAGGTCCTACAATAGTGATGTTATTTATGGGAGTAATTGGGGAGGTTACAAATGTCGTGAGCTCCCGAACAAATGGCTTTGGGAAGGGTTATTACCATTGAAATTATAAACTAAATTTTAAATTAAATTATAAAC